CTGCGGGCAGCAGGAGGCGCGGCCTGTGGGGGGCTCAGACGGGAGGGGCCTGSGCAGCTCAGAGTGCCCGGCACGGAGCACGGGCAGATGGCCCCGGTGACGAAGGGGCTTCGGGACCATGGGCGGGAGGGGTCCCGAGGGAGGGGCGGGTGGGGGGTGGTTTGGGGAAGGTGCTGAGTCCATCTGGGGCCTGATTTGCAGGGAGCCTGGGAGCCCCGAGGAGGTGCTGGGAAGGGAGCAGGTGGTGACCAGAGGCTGAGACCGCAGCTGGGCCGCACCGGCCTTGGGCCCTGCGGATGATGGTCCAGGGAGCGAGGGCATGTTCCTAGCGCAGGCCACCGGGAGCCAGGGGCGGCCTTGTCCAGTGGCTCTGAGAACCGGCAGGCACTTGGCCCGGGGCCCACAGGAAGCCCAGCAGACGGCCCCGGGTCGGTGCGCGGGCCCCCGGGCTCGGCCAGCCCCTCTGAGCCTCCGTGGGCCCTGGTCAGTCCTTGTCCCCAAGCCTCAGTCTTCTCATCTGAAAACTGGTCGCGGAGATCTGGAGTGGTGCGTGGACAGGACAGGGGACGGCTGGGCAGCGGCCGCCACCTGACTCCTGGGTGGCAGACACGGAGGTGGGGAGAGGGGCCTCGGGACGATCCCAACAAGCAAGTCCACGCTGCTGACCCCCGGAGAGGGGACCTCAGCCCCCCCCAGGACCCTCCACGCCAGGCCAGCTGGGGCCAGYGGGAGCAGGAGGCTCGTCCCCACGGGGTGTGGGACGGGGACCAGATGACAGCAACCTTCTCCACTGTCCCTCGGAGCTGCTGGCCCTGGGTCCTGGCCACGTCCCCACCTCAGATCCTGACTCAGGGTTGGGCTGGTTCTCTGCCTCTCGGGGCCAGACAGAGGCCGCTCCCTCGGGGCCTGGGGACGGCCCTGGGCCCTGGGCGGCGATGAGCRGAGCCTGAGGGCCTGTCTGGCTCCCTGTGGGCCTCGGGGCCCCTGAGGACTGCGTGTGCCCAGACCCCACCCCTCCCGCCTGTCTCTCTGGGAATGAGTCTGTGTCCCCAGCCTTCACCCCGCCTGGCCCAGGGGTGCAGGTCTCCCTCTCCCCGCAGGGCCTGGCTGGTCCCCCCCCAGCCCCCGCAGGACCAGAACCACGCCCTGGGGGGGCGGTGGGCTGAGCTTGGCTGGGGCTGCGACCCGTGGGAGGCAGATGCGCATCAGCTGGCYGGGTCACTCTCCTGTGCTCATCACTGAGGCATGTGGGACGGGGTGGCGCGGGGGTGGGGACTGTGCGCGTGCGCCCGGGCAGCCCCAGCACCCTGATGCCCAGCGGCAGCATTGGCGGGGAGGGCGGGGGTCAGGGCAGAGAGTCTTGAATTCACATCCTGAGGAGCTGTGTGGCCTTGGGCAGGTCACCGCACCTCTCTGAGCTCAAGGAGCGGCCGGGGCTTGTAGCCTCACACGCAGGCCCCRGGCTAAGTGGCAGACACAGGGCCTGAACTCTGGGGGACCACCTGCAGGGGACACCAAGACCCAGGCTTCAGGGCCAGTGCGGCCTGCCCCCGAGAGCCCAGTGACCCTGAGTGACCACTTCCCCATCTGGACCTGGGAGGCAAGGYCACAGCAGATCCTGCCTCAGCTGACGGGGAGGGTCCCCTGGCAGGACATTTCCTGTGGGCCAGGCACTGGGGCCCCGCTGGCCACAGGCGGGGTCAGAGGTCGCTGCCCGCGGGGCGCACACTGGTGGAGTGGCAGGTGGCCACAGGCTGGGGGTAGGTCTGAGTGCTGAAGGGCACAGGGGGGCACCAGGAAGCCGCTGGCAAGGAGGGGGCAGGCCAGAGCAGAGGTGGCCACGGTCAGCGCCGAGTGCGTGAGTCCCTCCGCGGCTCCCTGCAGCCCCCACCAAGCCCAGAATCCTTAGCACAAGTTCCCACGGCAGTGAGGTCCCCGTCCGGCCCGCACCCTGGCACCCTCCCACCCTGCCACACTCCTACTCCTCCGAGCTCCGGGACTTGTGCACCCTCCTCTGCCTCGCGGTCCCCTCGGGCCCTCGGGCTCTTCCTCTCCCTCTTGGTGACCAGAGGTCCGGACGGTGAGGGAGAGAGGCTCACTGTGGCCGCTGCAACCCAGGGCAGGATGGGGTGGCGGGAGACGGGGCTGTGACCCCATGTGTCCACTGTGTGGCCTCGGGCAAGCCACATGCCCTCTCTGGACCTCTCCAGGGGTTCTGTGCACTCAGGGCTGTTACCGCTTCAGTGATGGTGTCCTGGGGAAGGTGTGTGTAGGGTACCCCCCCACACGCGTCTCTCSAGTTACCCAAGTGCCTCTGGGAGCCCGTCCCCAGCTCTGAGTCCGGGTAGGGACAGAGGCCAGACAGCTGGGGTTCAAGTCCGACGATGCCACTAAGTAGCTGTGCAGCGTGGGCCAGTCGCCCACCCCCTCTGGGCCCGACTGGGAAATGGGGAGAATGGAGCCGTSTGTCCTGGGTCCTGAGGGAAGCCGGCACCATGCGCCAGCTGTTTCTGCTCCGGGCCTCTGTGGCTCAGGCGTCCTGACCGCTGCCCCTCGGGTTCCTCAGCTGGCAGARTGGCCCCAGGCCGAGCGTCTAGTGCCCACACAAGGCCTGGAGCCGACGCATTCTCTGCACCTCCGTGTTTCAAGGTTCAGATGCAGAATTTATTTGATTCGCAACCATCAAGTCCCCGAMGGTCTGTGAACAACCCCGTGAAATCCTCGGGTCCCTGCGGTMGCAGGATCGCCACTCGGTCCATTCTGACTCGAGTGGACGAAGGGGCAGACGGCGCAGCCTYGGGACGGCGCTCCTCCCAGGATCCCGGGACTGCGACCTGCAGCTGGGGGACCTTGGGCACGTCCCTCCCTCCTCGGACCCCTGAGGGCCCCCGCCTGGGCCGGCCCACCCTGCGCTGTGTGCCCAGTGCTTCCCGTGTGCAAAGTGGTCCCCGTCCCGGTTCCCTCCCGCCCCCAGCGGGGACCGTGCTGCCCCTCTCCCAGGACAGCAGGACAGTGGCTGGGGACGGTCCAGGCAGAGGAGGAAATGGTGGGCTGGGCGGCGGGCTGACGGCAGCGTGATGTCAGAGGAGGCCACAGGCGGTGGCGGGGTGCCCTCCCGGGCCTGGACGCGCCTCCCAGCGCCCTCCCCGCCCCCCTTAACCCCTTCCCGGCCTCCCTTTCCCAGACAGCCGTCCCGGGCCGGCCTGGCCCACAAGATTCCCAGATTTCGCAACAGGGGCTGGCGCTGAGTCACGTACAGTAAGTCTGGGGAGGGAAGCGCCCGCTGCCCGGTCCACGTCCGCCCCTGGATCTTCCCCGCTGGGCGCACAGGGCCGGTGGGACAGCCTCTCTGGGCTGTGCCGGGAACCCAGGGTGGCGTGGCTTCTAGGAGCTGGGGGCCCTGGACTCCGGCCGGCCTGGGGACCAGGGTGGCCTGCACTCCGTGGTGGCCYGCCCCCAGATGGCCGGGACCTGGAGTCTCTAGCTGTAACTCTACACGACGGTCTCCTTATCTGGAGAATGGGAGAGTCACAGGGTGACCTCCCAGGGTCACCACAAGGACCAAGCGAGATGACCCRGACAGCGCTCGGCACAGGAAGTGCCCGCACATGTTAGGGCTGCGGGGATGTCGGTCGGATGACCCTGGAGACCGTCCAGGGCTCGGGCTCTGTCCCTGCGGGACGGCCCTGCCCCCTGTGGTATGAGTTACGTTGTCTTTGAAAAAAAAAGTCTTCATTCCATCAACAAACATTTATTGAGCACCACTGTGTTCTAGCCGCATTCACGGGTCCTGCAGACCGTGGGGACGGAACGCAGAGTCCCGTCGGGCTGCGCCAGCCCCGCCGCCGTCCAGGGCGGAGTCAGAGGGAGGGTCGTGTCTGTGGGTGACCAGGCCAGGGGGGCACAAAGCACAGGCCGGGGGCGAGGGAGGGGCCCTGTCCCCGGAGACCAGGACCCAGAGGAGAGGGCAGCGTCACGGGGTGCGGAGGCCCCAGGCAGGGCCCCGTGGGTCGGGAGGCTGCGCTCTGGGCTGGGTGAGCGGCAGCTCTCTGAACCTGGGCTCCTCTTGTCCCTGACCTGTACCTGTGGGGACAGCCATTGGACAAGGCCTGGCGTCTTCCATCTGGGGACCTCAGGCCCTGGGGCCACCCGTTCACAGTGACAGGACCCCCGGAGGGCCAGACCCTGTGCAGAGGCTGCTGTGGGGACCAGGACTGCGATTCCCCCGGTGGGCGGGAGGTGGCCGCCAGGTCCCCGGGGGCCTGGGAGCGGCCTTGCCCCCCGCTGAGCCCTGGACTCTGGGTCTCCACCTGGTCGCACAGCCCCTGGGAGGTGGCCAGCAGCCTCCTGGAGGGCCTAGGGGGAGGCCTGGCCTCCACAGCCCTCCTCACCCTGGAGGAGGGGACATGGTGGGGTCCCTGGGCATCAGCTGGGTTTGGGCCACAGCCAGGGCCAGGGGGAGCAGGGGCTCCCAGGTGGGGGCGGTCGGAGCTGGTTCTGGGCCCAGGCGGGTCCACGGAGGCCTGGTCGGGGTCCCCGGGGGGTCGGCCTTCGTTCATTTATTTCTAGAAAAGTCCCTTGCCCTTTCCCCTGGGGCCACGCAGGCCGGGGCAGCTGGCGGGAGGGCGGCCCTCGGGGTCCGTGGCTCTCTGCTCCCTCCCAGGCGGTGGGAGGAGCAGTCGGATCCTGTCCAGGGAACCGGCAGGAAGGGCCAAGGCCGGACCACGGTGAAGACCTGGGCCTGCAGAGGCAGGAGGCAGGCCCAGGCCCCCAGGAGGGGTGGCCCCGGGGGCTTGCGTCTGCCCAGGCCCCGCCCCCAGTGCTGGCGGGGTGGGGGGGGGCGCCTGAGCCAGGTGTCTGGGGCGCCTTGAGCCCCCACCTGCTCCGCTGGCCTGGGACTGACCCSGGACTGGAGGCCGGGCTGGCTGGGACCCTCTGCGCGCCCCGGCAGGGTGATTACCGCGGGGCTAATAGCGCCCACTTCCTGCCCCTTTCATCAGGGCCCGGAGCTGCCAGGCAGTAATTAGCGCGGGCAGCTCTCTGAAGTCGGCGCTGGAGGCAGACGTGTGATTAAACCACTTTACAGGTAGGTAAACTGAGGCAGGGCCTCTCGGTTCCCTTGACTCAGCAGCTCAGCCAGGCTCTGCTCTCTCCACAGCAGGCCACGCCCCTCGCCCCGGGCCCTGGCTGCAGGCTGCACCCCGAGGCCACAGGGCACCCACCCCTGCCTTGTCCCCTCAGGCCTACAGGGCCCTGGGTTCCCAGTCTATGCCAGAGGATGGAACCTGACTCTGCTGTGTGACCCCAGGCAAGTCACTGCCCTTCTCTGGCCCGGGTTTCCTCCTCAGCAACACAGGGCTGATCTAACCACCTGTGTAGCTGGGGCCTGCCTCGTCTGTCCCCTCCCCACTCTGGCCACACCATCCTCCTCACTGTTCCCTGAACACGCTGGGCCCCTCCCTGCCCCAGGGCCTTTGCAGATGTTCTGTCCCCGCCTGGAATGGCCTTTCTTTCCACCTCCTCATCTTCCTGGGCTCGAGTGTCACCTGCTCAACCTCAGAGCGGCCTCCGTCCTGGTCCTGCCTGACTTAGGGTGCTCAGGGAGGCGTCTCTGTTTATCTTCTGTGTGCTCCGGCTGCACAGGACAGGAATCCTGTCTGTCTGCCCACAGTGTGTCCTCAGCTCGGCAGGGCTGGGCACACAGTAGGTGGCTAGGAAACAGCTGCTCCCCCCCCTTCTTGCTGGCTGCGGGGCCGGCTGGAACCCTCTTTCCCTCTCGGCTCCCCCACGCCCTTTGGGGGACAAAGGACGGCTGGCGTGGATCTCCTTGAAGGACTCGGGTGGTTTTGCAGCCCAGGACCTTGGGCKCCTGATTTCCCGGGCAGTGGCCATGGGTGGCCTCAGGAACAGGTGCGGGAGATGGGCCCTCTGGTGCCGTCCCGGTCCCTGCTGCACGGCCTCTGGGCCCAGCCCCTCCCGGGCGTCCGTCAGCAGCTGGGGGAGGATCTGGRAGGGAAGACAAAGGAGGGCGGGGGCCGCACCTGTGTCAACAAGGCCCCTCCAGCGGTGCCGGGCCTGCTCCTCGCCAGGCCCCACTGCCACCTCGAAGCTGTCCCCAGGCCAGGCCGGGGGACGCTGGCTGACACCCCACTTCCGTCCCCAGAAGTACCGGAACGTTCCCGGGATGGCGGAGCAGCCTCCAGTCCTGGCCGCGGTCCCAGAGTTCTGGAATGTTGGAATCCAACGGCCTCCGGACGCTCTCCAGGAGGAAGGGGACACTAGGCTGCCCAGGGGAGCAGGACCGCCAACAGGCCCGCGTCCACCCCCCGTTTTCCAGCCATAGCACCCCAGCTTCCTACCAGAGAACACTTCTCCCCCATTTCAGGCCGCGAGGCCTGGGGGGTGCCTGAGAACCCCGGCTCCAAGAGTGCACAGGTGACCAGCTCTCCCCGCTGTGATTGGCCCCCTGGGGAGGKCCTGGGGAGGTCCTGGGGCCACGCTCACCCGACGAAGCCCTGTCCTGGGACTTGAGTGCGGAGAGGTGGGGAAGGYGCGCAGTGGGTCCCCTGGATGGAGAATGAGCCAGCGAAGGGCCCAAGCCTGCCTGAGAGCCRGACAGGGGCAGAGCTCCTGGATCCAGCCAGACCTGAATCACACACCCTTGGACTCCGATTACAGAAACTGCTACCTTTCCTGGTTTGGGCTGAAAACAGTTTGAAGTAGTTTTCTCTCCCTTATTCCGATGGAGCCATGGGAGGAGACGAGAGGGGAAGAGAGTCCCAGCCGAGGGAAGGGGCAGCAGCGCCGGGAGGGACCCCGTGACGGGGGAGGGGCCAGGCGGGCGACCGGAGTGTCCCAGCCAGGGAYGCCGGGTGAGAGGTGGAGAGCGGCTGGCTAGCAGGAGGCTGACCACGTACCAGGCTGGGCTGGGCGTCGGGGACACAGCTGGACTGTCCCTCCCGACCGCCTGGAGCAGGCTCCTTCCCAGCTCGCCCCGCCCCAGCGCCCTGGGGTTCAGGAGCCCAGCGTTGGGCGGTGTCCACCCTGGGGCCACCTCACGGGTCACACGGTGGGGATGATTCCCTCTGCAAACCTTCCAGGATCCCCCGGGACCCGGCTGTCCCCTCCTGAGGAAGAGCACCCCCTGCCCCTCTGTGGCCCAGCTCCATCTCTGCTGAACCCCCAGATGTGTGGGGTGTGACGCAGGGAAGAGAGGACCTCGGCCTGACGAGCCGCGGAGCATGTCACCGCAGGCACTGGACAGGCAGAGTGTCACCACCCCGAGTCCTCTGTCCCCTCCACGCACCTCCCCTTGGAGGGCCCCCTCCCGGCTCCCTCGCCACACCTAGCCCCTCAGGCGTGTGGACTTGGTTCTGATCCGGGTCTGTCCCTGTACCCGTGCTACTCCAGGTGCCGCCTGGGGACCCAGCGTGCTGCCTCCTTGGGTCTGGGTTCCCCTTCAGCATGGCGTTGAAGACACACACAGGCAGGGCTGGGTGCAGCTCAGGGGCAGCGCTCACCCGGCTTGCACGGGGCTGGGGGGCGAGCGGGGAGAGGCGTGCAGTTGTGCCAGGCTGTAGATGACCCTTTTTGATGGGCACCTAATATTCCCTTGGGCCACATGGTGAGCCATTCACCACTTGAGGTTTATTTGAACYGTTTCCAAACAGGTTTTTGTGTGGACACACATTTTTGTTTACCCTGGGTAAATTCCGAGGAGTGGCGCTACTGGGTCACRTGGCAGGTGTGTGAGTCGCTGTTGAGCTCTTCCCCAGCGTCTAGGTCACTCTGAGCTCCCACCAKCGGGGCATCAGAGCTTCAGGACTCCCGTCCTCTCCAACCCTTGTGTTGTCAGGTGGCTTTTAAAGATATTTTTAGAATTTTAGCCCTTGAAGTCGGTGCCCATCTCACCACAGCTTTATCTCGCGCATCCCTAATGGTCAACGATCTGGCGCTTTGTGGAATGTGACTATTTGCCAYTGACACATTTTCTTTGGTGTCGTATCTGTTCCAACATTTTGGCCTCCGTGAAAACGGGATTGTTTACTTGTTAATGGGTTCGGAGCGCTCTTTATATATTCTGGATACTGGTCAGCGCTTTGTCAAATATGTGATCTGCAAATACCTCCTCCCAGCCTGTGGCTGGGTTTCTCGTGTTTTGCTAATAGGTAGACCTCAGTGACATTGTTTTGTTTTGGTTGCGATGATTTCTCTGGTTAACGTTGGCTTGTGGCGTGTTCTTTGTTATCTCAAGGCCAGTGATAACATCAAATGTTTTCTTTTAAAATAAATTTGAGTTAAAAAAAAAAAAAAGAGTCAGGCAAGTTGAAGGCAAACGAGGTCGGTGTAGTCGGGGTGTAAAGCGGACGGCCCGAGACTCCCCGGGGTGTCACTGGAACACCCGTGGGCCTGTGGGCCAGGCTGGGTGCTGGGTGCTGGGGTCTCTCACTTCAGGGAGGCGAACTCTCCAGCGAGCCCCTCTGCACCCTTCAAAAGCCAATTCAGATGGCGCTTACCCTGCCCAGACCATCCCTGGTCCACCCGTCCASCCTTGCCTCCACAGGCCCCCGGGGCAGGGGCAAGCCTGGCAGCCCTGGGGTCACAGGGAGCCTGGTGCATGGGCACCGGGCAGGAGCTGTCGTGAGAGGCCACGGCGGCTGCTGATCGGCAGACTGAGGCCCGGCCATCCTGGTGCAGCTGGCCCCTGCAGGCTGGCTCTCCCCTCGGGCTCGCCCCCCCACAGAGAGGCCAGGAGGAAGCCCCTCGGCAAACCAGGGCCTTYGGGGGCTCTGTCCCCCTCCGTGTCCGTGGACCCCTCTCTGAAGGACTCACGGCCAGGGAACCCTTCACTCTGACCTGCCCCAGTGACCACTTGCCCCTGGCCTTCAGCCACCTGTGCCTGGCTCCTCTCCTCTCACTCCTTTTGGTCCTGGGGATTGAACCCAGGGGCACTCGACCACTGAGCCGCAGCCCCAGCCCTTTCTTATCTTTTGAGACGGGGCCTCACTGAGTTGCTCAGGGCCTCGCTACGTTGCTGAGGCTGGCTTTGAACTCACGATCCTCCTGCCTCAGCCTCCCAAGCTGCTGGGATTGCAGGCGTGGGCCACCGGCCCCGCTGTGTGTTTTCCTTGCAGCACTGAACACCTTCATTTCAGAATTCATGCATTTGCTGTTTCTTGTCTGTGTCCCCCAACGATGTCACTCCGCGACAGGTTTTTGTCTCTGCATTCCCTCAGTGTCTGGCATGGCACTCAGCACACAGTAGGTACTCAATACGCAGTTATTGAATGAATGGGCTCAGGCGCTCTCCTCAGATGCACACAGTGTGTCAAGGGGTCATCCGCCCTGGTCAGGCCCGTCGCCCTGGGGCTCTTCCAGCTGGGTCCAGGCGGCCTCCCTGCCTCCCCTCTGGCCCCTGGCCCAGCCCAGAACCGAGTGCTGCCCACGCCTCCAGCCAGCTGCCCAGCCCAAGGGCTGCCCATTGTCCTTGGAGGGCACAGGACGGGGCGTGAGATTCCCGGGCTCACACCAAGGGAGAGAGGGGCTCCTCACCCCCGTCCTCGGGGGCGGCGACCCTGGGCGGGCCCTGGAGCCCCTTCCCCACCGGCCCCACCTCCAAGCCAGCGGGGCGGCAGCTTGGGCTCCGTTCACCTCTGCGCATGTCTCGCTGACCACCTCCAGCCCGCAAGGCGGTGCCCAGCGCGGTTCCCGGGAGGCGAGGCCGAGGCGCGCAATTTGAAGGCAGGTGACCCCGGGAAGGCGCTGCCGGGAGGCGGGGAAGTGGGACGGGGCCGGGAGAAGAGCTGATACCCAGAGTGTCGCCGAGCAGGGACCGAGCGGCGACCCGGGGCTGGGTGAGCGGGWGGCATCCCGCGGGACGCCCCGAGACGCGGGCTGGCCTCCGGTGTCCCCGCGGGCGGGCGCCGGGAGCCGCGCATGCGCACAGCGGCCTCTCCGCCCCGCCGCCAGGTGCGCAGAGCGCRCAGGTAGAGGCTGGTGCTCCCGGGAGAGCGGGGACCGGGCGGGGCACCGGCGGGGTCCTCAGGGTCCTTTTAGGCAGGGGSACAGCGTTTCTGGTTGGGAATAAGGTTTATGTCAGCATCTGAGCCCCGCGGACGTGCAGGGAGGCGCCCGGGAGCGCTGAGCCGCGGAGGCTGAGCCGTGGAGGCTGAGGCGCGGAGGCTGAGCCCGGGCATTTCTTAAGGACGTCCCAAGACCTTCACGGGCAGGCAGCCTCCTCACGCCCCGCCTGGCGGTGGGCTGAGACCCGCTTCTCCCAGCGCCCTTCGTGCCACCCGGAGTCCCTGCGCCACGCGCATTCCCAGGAGTCCTCGAGGCGCCTGCAGCGCAGGCCAAAGCCCTGTGTGACCTGGGGTTCGCGTTCAACCTCTCTGGGCCTGTCGGATGGTCCCCAGACGCAGGGAAGAGAGATGATCGTGGCCGGGCTGATAAAGGGGGGGGGGAGAGGGCAGCTGCTCATCCGGGCCCCAGACCGAGGCCCCAGACCCGCGGGTCCTGGCGCCCAAGGGCAGGGACAAGGGAACAGGATGGAGGCCGTTGCCGTCGCGCACCTCGTCAGTGGGGAGGGGGCGCCGCAGAGCACCCAGCAGCCCCCAGGCCTGGCTGTCCCCGAGCGCATCTGAGGACCCTGGGGGGACTGGCGGTGGTGGCCCATCTTGGCAGTGTCGGCTCCCCCAGTGCCGCAGCTGGACACCGTGGCCGCCACCCTCCTCCAGCGGTTCCCTTGGACGCTTCTGAGTGACCCCAAGAGGAAGTCTGTGGGCGCTGGGGACTGGCCCCCTCTTGGACTGGCCTCAAGCACAGCGCCCTGTGTGGCAGCTGGCAGCGGGGACTCGGTGGCGCTGTTAAGGTCACTTTCCGGTTAGGGGAGGAGTGTCCCTTTTCTCTTCCTGATCGTCCTACGGTTTTTCCTTTAAGAACCAATTCATTGATTCCTGGGGGGGGACCTTGGCGACATTACATCCCGCGGAGGTGTTCAGAGAGACATGGCCACATCCCTGCCGCCACCTCTAAGAAGCTTCCAGAAGAGAGGGCCGCAGCACAGAAGGAGGCCTGTTGCTGCTGAGGGCAAGTGGCGGGCAGYGTGGGGACCGGGGTCCCCTCTCGGGAGGAGGAAAGTGTTTTGCAACTAGTTCAAGGTGGTGGTTGCACAAGAAAAGACCAAAACACACTGGACCGTCCGCTTCCCGGGGTCAGTGGGCGGCTGGTGCTTCTCACTCAGTCAATTATTCCTTAAAAACCAACCAAACGACAACAGAAATTCAATTTCCTTAAGGAAGAGCCCGTGGCTTGAGAGAGAGCTTCTGAGGAGGCTTGAGAAACCCTGGCCCAGAGGACGGGGCGGGGCCTGGCCAGGCCTGAAAGGCCCCCTGCCTGCAGACAGCGCCCTGCGCACCCGGAGCCCAGCCCAAGCCTCACCCCTGCGGCCGCCCTGCCCAGCACCAGGGCCCGCAGCCCCGGGCGAGGACCGCTGCCCGCCACGTTCTCRCGGGGAGGAGTCTCCTCACTCTGGACATGGGCCTCAGTTTCCCCATCTGTAAAATGGGTCTCGGGTGGGCCCTGGTGGGACGCAGGGACCTTGGTCCACACTTCTGCTCCAGCTCCATGGCACCAGGGCCGTATTCATTTTCCTCCTGTGGCTTCGGCTTTGGGCAAAGTCTTATCTTCATCACCTCTGCATTTGTCACTGCACACAGTAGGTCCCCAAGAGGAGCTGACATCCAAGGAGACTTCCAGAATCCTGTCCCTTCTCTGCACTTCATGGTCCCCACCCTGGTCCAGCCCTGGCACGGCTCACCTGCACCTTTGCAGATACCTCCTTCCCAGCCGCCTGGTCTCTGCCCTGTGTCCCTCACTCCCAGCTCATGCCCACTCCCAGCCCGAGGGATCCTGTGAGAAGCTGGCCAGCCCTTCYGCTGTCTCCTCACTGTGAAAGCTGGAGCCCTCCCTGTGGCCACGAGGACCTGCACAATCTGCCATCCCCTCCATCCTCATCTCCCCATTCTCCCACTCTCCTGCTTCACAGTCTTCTTCCTGTGCCCACAGTGCCAGGCCTGCACCCCAGGGCCTTTGCACCGGCTCTCTTTGCCTAGAACACTTATCCCCCACACCACTCCCTGCTCACCTCCTGGCCTCCAGGCCTCTGTTCAGACCCGACCTCTCAGGGACCTGCTTTCCAAATTCAGCTCTTTTTGTCCATGGGCAAAGCCCTTGGCCTGAGCCCTGGGCCCAGCTCCATGGCTGGGGACGGCGAGGCTCTCCACCCAGGACCAGGGTCAAGCGTGGGGCGGGTGGTTCTGGGCCGCACCTGGAGCAGAGGCCGCTGCCTGGCTGGACAGGGCTCCAGGCTGCGGTGGGAAGGCGCGTCCTCCTCTGCTCCCTGACCCGCTGACTCAGACCCTCACCCTGCCCTGTCCCTGGGTGGACGCTGGCCAGCTGCGGTCCGGCAGGGCCAGACACCAAGTCACCTCCCGCCCAGGCCGCTCCCCGGGGCCAGGCCCCTGTGCTYCTGCCTCTGAACCTCCCTGTCCAGCAGAGCCCCACCGGAGGGTCACCTGGAGATGCCTGACGGGCGAGGGTGACGGTGGTGACACTGAGAGCAGCAGCCACGCCCACCCAGAGCCCGAGGCTGAGCCCGGTCCCTGTCACCAGCTCAGTCCTGCCACCGGGTCCTGGGGGTGGGACTCTCACTTCCCAGAGCACAGTGGTCAGTCAGCACGGGCGGCCCCAAGCCCCAGCAGCCGGACTCTGGGCCGCCCTGAGAGGGTCCCCACCGGCAGAGCAGCGGCCAGCCCTGAGGCCCCTGTGAGTGACCTCCTGGTGGGGAGAGTCGGGCTCGGTGTCAGGCTCGCTGCGGGCCACGGAGCCGGAGCAGGGCAGAGGCCGAGTTCAGCCCCGCTTCCTTCTGACTCCGCGAGGCCAGGGTCCCTCGCTGAACGGCCACCTCGCCTCTGGAAGGACGTGACCCAGGTGCCGGAGGAGCCTGCAGTCCAGCACACCTGGCCGTCTCCGTGGCCACCACTCACCTCTCCACCACCCGCCCTGCGCCCACCTCCGTCCCCTCGCTCCCACCCCTCCTCCCGCCCCACCTCCTGTCACATCTCCTCCTGTCACATCTCCTCCTGTCACATCTCCTCCTGTCACATCTCCTCCTGTCACATCTCCTCCTGTCACATCTCCTTCCCCTCCTCCTGCCCCTCCTCTCACCGTCCACTCACATCTGCCCATCAATC